TGATATTCTACTGTATTGTTTGATATGTATTCTAAGCAGTTCATATTTATATTATTGCCCAGGCAAAAGCCTTCTTTGTATTCGCTATTACAATTTGTTTACGCACGGTCACCAGTCAGTTACGCCATTCTTTAGTGGTGTACCCCCTCCTCAAAAAAATCCTGGATCCACCCCTGACCCTAACTTGTTATCTCCTGAAAATTTACAGAATTAATGACTACTCAACGAACCTGTATTCTTCCAATAGCACCAATAGCAACTTCAGGTGGCATAATCACTGGTTTTGTATATGTTCCTCCAATCTGGCAAAGACATCAGAAACAATTGAATCACATAACCAAGAAATGTAATGTTTTAATTTCTGACAAAGCTTTGGATTCACAAGGTGACAAGTCACTGATTGAGTTCTCTATAAAAAATTGCTTCGTGTGTTGAGTTTGGGTGCACATGTGACATAAGGAAAAATTTCTTTCGGGGAAACAAAGATGGAAGAAAAGATTCTCCATGATGCATTGACTAATGGGTTCCAATCTTGGAGAATTTTGGAGAAGTTTAGGAGCCCTTGCAAGATAGCACTTGCCTCTTCAAAAATTAGTTAACTTGAAAACTGCAAATTTAAAACTCAATTCCACTTGCAACTATTTAAAGACGAGGCTTACTGATCCAATGTTTGAGAGAGTGAAAGTTCCTCCAGTCAAGTCTTCTGGTGCAAGTTTACCAGCCAGTCCCAGCTGATGAAGTCTGTTGAGCTCCACAGTAACATCAAATATTGACTTGTTCTGTACATTTTTCACATTTGGTACCAATAAGCCTTGTTGTGTATCCATGGCAACACCAATGTTATGTGAACCCTGACAAGAATGTTCAAAATGAAGTATTCATTGACAGGTTGGAGAAAAAAACATTGAGGAATAAAATGAAGAATTGTTGCATTTTGCATGGTTATTAATCACAATTTTGATCATCACATGGTCTACATCCTTTGATAACACCAATTATACTTTAACTCCCAAGTTCTGATTGTTAATTCTCCCCTCTAACTGCTTCACATTTCCTCATAAATTAGCTTAAGTATTCTCATTACCTGTTTGCTGGATAAATTATGGACATTATGGGGAGACATTACTTATTATAATTAATCAATTCTGGGAATTAAAGGATCAAAATAGTTCCATCCTGAGTGGTCTGCTTAACAAGGATTCTTACATTTCATGGTTTGAGGTTCTTGAAGGCATTGTTGATATAAACTTAATTCTCAGGTGACCATAAATCAAACTATTTACCTTAAAAGTGATATTCTCGCATGCAGGATCCACAGAGCTGTTTAATATTGGGAAGTGGAGTAGAGCCATAGAAGTTGCCTTTATAAACATTGGCATAAAGGATAACTTCATCCCTCTTGCCTGAAATGATTCTTTACTGTGATTTCGTAGCCTGGACAATAAAAATGTGAGAACCAATAATCAAACAATTCCTTGCAAAAATGGATTGTCCTGAAAAAAGTTTTTGATAGTTTTTGTTCTCTGCTGTGAGTGCCACAATTCATTTAAAATTTCTCTATTTGTATTTGACAATGTAGAGGGAGAGGTAGTTGGAAATTTAACAGAAAAAGAAAAGAGAAATGAACAGACTTCACAAAAGTAAAATTGTTACCTCACAAGCTCATTTAGAATTATTTCATCCTTGTAACCAAAATGTGGAATTGCGAGTGATGCTGTCATTGCCTTAGCCATTGCTCTCCTAATTCCTTTGATAGTTTCGGTTCTGTCTTCAAGCATCACCTCTGGTCTTGCAATTGGAGTTGAGGGTGGTGTGGTGGGGGTAGCAACTTCTACTGTGGGGGCAGGGGCTGTGAAGTCATTGCAAAGAGTACTTAGACACAAATAACTTGTTCAAAAAAACATATCTTAATAACTATTTACCTTCTGTGGGTTTGGCCTTCATTCTCTCAATGTAATTCAGTATGTCCTCTTTAAGGATTCTGCCATCCCTACCTGTTCCTGAGATGTCAGCCAGTTTGATCTGAAAAACAAAATTTTGGACAAGCATTTCAATTCAGATCTTGAATCGCATGTCCTCACCTCAGTTGTAATCATCTCCGTCTAAGTTACCACCCAGTTGATTCTTTATCTTAAAAACAAGCCATGGAAAAGCATGTCAAAAAGAAGTCGGTAAAATTTGTTCATGACCACTGGAAATCTATTTACTTGTCCTTACATTATGGTCCATTGCCATTTTGCGTACAGCTGGTGTTGTTAACACTTTCCCACTGCTGTTTGTCTGCTTTGTGGTAATCTGAGGAGCAGGGGTTGGTGGAGCTTCTGACTGAGGTGGTGCCGATTGAGGGGACTGGGGCAGAGGTGGAAGAGGTTGTTCTATAGCATGTGTTGGTTTAGGCTTCTGTTGGGCAGCCATGACATCTTCAGCAGGGCTTGGACCGGCATCAATATCTAAAAATCATGATTTAGTTAGGATTCATTCCAAAAATTGATCAAGCACACTTTGCTAATCCATTATAATTATTATTAGTTCTTTCCTACTCAAAGATCAAAAATATGAAAATTGACTTGTAAGGTATTAGTTATTCTTATCATTAAATATCAACATTATTTGGCTATGGCTTTTCCATGTATTAGATTTCAGGATAAAATGCATACGATGTATAATATAAACTCACTAGCATCAACATTAGCCTCTGCCTCTATGTCCACCAGAGGTTGTCCAACTCTTGCAATATCATCCACATCATAATAGAGTTTCTTGATTATACCATCAAACCGGCTTGTTATTGTTACTGATGCCTGTGAATGACAAATAGGATTTAATTTTACTTTTTCTAATTAGTAATTCTCCGAACTGTCGGCCATACAATTCTTACGATTTTAATTTGGAGAATTTGGTATTGGATCAACTAATAATCCCCTAATTGATATTTTTTTACATTCTCATCATTTGTCAACTTGATATTGTACTGGTGTTGTTAGGAGAAATTCTGTCTTGGTCAGTTATGGGGCATGTTACCATAAATGGTTATTCATGTTATGAAGTCTAACCTTGTCACTCTGCACTTCACAAATACTATCAAACTGATTTACATGGTCGCCTGGCTTCACATACCTATTAGAAAATAACAGAATCATTTTCATCCAATGAAAATTATTGTTAAGTAATTATGTAAACCACAAAGATATGGCCATCAAATAGAACTTGTTTCCTTACCATTCTTTGATTGTAACTTCTGCAATTCCCTCCCCAATGTCAGATAATTTAAAAGGAAGGACTTCTCCATTCATACCTGAATAGAGTAGAAACTTTTATCAATTTGCATTGATAAATTATGTTATATGCTCCACTGTAATGTTTTGGTGGCATAGTAGATAATTCACAGAAGACTTTTGACACCAACATTTTTTGGAAAATACAGAAATTATCTAATATTAGGGATTTCATATTATTGCCATCAGCACTCTCATATTCTGAAGTAGTTTGCCTCCTGTCTTTACCTCCCCCTACCCCCCTCTCTCTATTTGAAAAAACAGTTGTTTTCAATGCAAAACCTACCGATTTAACATGTCAAAAACCTATAAATTCTGAATCGGAGATTTTTATCTTAAAATTGCGACCAAGATTTTATCTCTAATTGACGCAATTCTGCGTCTTCCTGTCACACCCCTGACACACCCCCACAACACCCTTCACCGGAAGTTTTCGTAATTTTGTCGATGTACTTTCCGATTGAAAATTTACTTTATAGCGATAATCACTAGCTTCGGAGGCGCAGCAAAGCAGTGTGGATCGTTCCAATCTTAAACAAGACCATTAGAAAATTCAACAATCCGAATAATTAACACTTAATTACGAGTACCGATGATGTACCTGTTGTTGTTCGCAGAAATCGTAAACCCCGCGGTTGTTTTCCAAACTCCTGTAAATTACAAAATCATAAAGTGATTAATCACTTTAAAAGGAAAACAAAAGATCGATCATCCGCAGAAATGTGTTTGTGATCATTCAACTAACCTTGATGAAGTTTGAATTTTTCATGGTCACACATGAACAGATCGGGCGTTTTCCATTGACAATTGGTCGGTTCTGGATTTGAAAACAATTTATTACAGAAGGTATGATAATATTCACCCCATTTATACAAACTATCTACTCACTTGTCGGCAGAAAATACGAAGATTTCTCCTTAAGGCCAAGTTTCCTAACATCGACAACCTGGACGCCATCTTGAAATACATCCACGTGGAGCTAGTTATGCGCCTGCTTACATACAAAAACCCGCTGATTTGTTTCGCTTCTGGAAGATTTCATGGACATGCGAAAGTAGATTTCGGCAACTAAATTTCGAATTTTACAAAAATGAGCAACATATACATCCAGGAGCCCCCTACAAATGGAAAGGTGAGAAATAAGTGTAATAGCGTTGAAGAGTATTAAAATTGATGTAGATGAGGCTGTTGTTGTAAAGGTATGGCGCGCGGATTTGAACATTTCAAGACAACAACAAACTGTCAGAATATTAGATCTTTTAGAATTATCGTTGTCTCGCAACAGGTGATTCGAGTAACTAATTTGTATCAACAAAGTTGGTAATTAATTGTATGATTTAGCCTAAAAGTAATAAACACCCAGGAAAAACCATAAAAACAGGGCCACTTTTTTACATCACTCTGATCAAATTTGCAGTTCTCTCCACTGGCCTATCGTACATTACGACTCAAAGGTTGTTATGAGAATTGAATATGATTTCATCTGTTTGCAATCTCCCATTGCTTGTCACCTGATCATAATTTTTTTATTGCAGTATGTTTTTTTTTATGTACTATATCAGCTTTGGGAACTATATGCCACTCACACTACAAAAGGAAGTGATTAATATGATGTGAAGTAGAAAAGAAATCTTTTCGTAGTGTTTCAGGGTGTTTAGTCCCTAATTGTTGACTTGTGGAAAAGTAATATAGACTACAATGGCAAAAAAAATTGTAGATGATTTTTTACATAATCATTAATCCAAACTCTATTTGATAAACTTTTTAAATAGTTTTCTGTAAAATGATTTAAAATTTTGTCAATTAACTAAGCTTAGACAGTGGGTTAATTTAAAATGATTAAAAAAATAATTCACAACCACAGGCTTTTCTCACTTATTTACATTAGGTTCTTCTTATTACTTCATCTGGAGAAATTGAGATTGAGTTGTGGTCAAAAGAAGCTCCTAAAACCTGCAGGAATTTTGTTCAGCTTTGTTTGGAGGGATATTATGATGACACCATTTTCCACAGAATTATCAAAGGTAAATGTTAGATTTAGTGAGGTTCACAAAATATGATGTGCTCCATATCTACACAAGGTTCTCATAATGTAGAAGTCAGGAACTGGGTGTATGCATTAGTATCAGGTTGCAAAAGTATGATAATTTTATACCTGCTCCAGCCCACTTTCAGAATTGGTCATAGAGGAGCTTGCTTCATGTTTTTTACTTGCTTGTCTGACAATTGTTGACTGTGTTATATAAGCCAAAAGTCCAGAAACAGTGAAGACAAGGTCAAGATGACAGTTTTTGTATTCAGAAGCTTTAACCTCAAATACAATCCAAATATGGAAAAATGGTCATGTGACAACATGTACAGCAAAACCCAAATGGAAAGATCTAGCATTGATAAACTCATCTAAGTTGTCATTGAAGTAGTCTTAGTTTTTGGGGATCTCACCATAGTTGTTCGCAAACTTACCAAAGTTGTCAGTAAACTCATTCAAGTTGTTGACAAAGTTATCTATAGTAAGTTGTCACTGAACACATTCAAGTTGTTGGCATACTAATACAAGTCCTTGGCAAACTTATCCAAGTTCTTGGTAAACTTATCCAAGTTCTTGGAAAACTTATCTAAGTTGTCAATAAACTCACCTACATCTTTCTTGCAGGTTTCTGTGTTCAGGGAGGAGACCCAACAGGAACAGGGATGGGTATGTTATAGGCTAATTGGCCAGGCGATAAATATGGTCTTTTACTTGGTTGATTAATAATATTTAAAATAAACATTTGATTCAATGTGGTGTTTCATGTCTTCTCAGATACCTGTAAAAAAGTTGGACTTTTCTTCTTTTTTAATTTCTTGTTCTTGTTTCAGGGGGAGAATCTATCTATGGAAAACCTTTTAAGGTAATTATTTAACTTAATTTTGGTTGATGTCATCCATTTTTGCAGATATAGTAAGATTTTGAGACTGGTATTTAACATTTTTCAGTAGCTTGTTTTGAGTTAACCGTTTACTTTCTTAGGATGAATTTCATCAAAGGCTTCGTTTTGTACGGAGAGGGCTGGTTGCAATGGCTAATGCTGGACCCAATGATAATCAAAGCCAATTCTTTTTCACTCTTGGAGCAACACAAGAATTAAATGGCAAGCACACCATCTTTGGCAAGGTAAAAATGCAGAAAAAAGACTTCTGCTGGGGGTGATGTAATTACTGGTAATGACCTATTTTCCCACAAAGAAAAAAACAACAAAAAAAAGACAGACAGTTGCAAATCTTTATCAAGGTTAAGATATTCAGTTAAGTACTGAAAAACCAAAACCAATTATTATAGTAATTTTAACAGTTTGTCAGAACAAAGGTTTTTGGCTATAGTGAGAAAGGTTATCAATTTGAAAACAAAGAACAAATTTAAAGTGCCTGTGACAGTCTTAAATGGTAATCTGGGTATCTGGTAATCAATGTATTTGGTAATCAATGTATTTAAAGAGTTGAAATAGAAAAATAAACTCATTAAACATACAAAGCCTTGTCCTTAGAGTAATGTTTTCTCAGATTCTCTGAAATCCTGAGGTCAAGGAACCGTGACCCAACAACTACCCATAATGCCTTTTGGTTTATCACATGCACTTTTGTGCCTTTTTTCCAACAACCTTTCTCAAAACAGCTGTATATTACTTTGAGCCAGTGACAACTCGAACTAAAAGCAAGGGAATTGTTTGCAGGTTTCAGTTACTGTACTACTGAATTTCATAGTTTCCTATGCCAATCCCAGAGAAATGTTAAACAAGCCAAATGCAATCCAGGGTTAGGTTGAATTTTAAATTGACAGTTGCTCTTAAACTCCAAATGAGACTTCTTAAGGGAATTCTGCAAGTGGTATGAGCAGGACTCAAACCCAGGACCTCTGGATTTTATGGAGTAAATTGTCACCACTCAGGGTTGCTTCCTGCACTAACATTTGTAACTGTTACTCGTTTTTAATTTGTATACATGTTTGTATGTATCTAGTACAAATGGTATTTATGGCAGTCTAGATTTATCCTTGCAGAGGGCTGTGTTTGATGCAATGGTCTTTTGATTGAGCACTCTAAACCTTGAAAAAAAATGATCTCAAGGATAAATCAGCACAAAGAGCAATATCACAATGCATGAAGCCATGCAGTGAGAGGCCAGTATAGCAGAAAGCAAAACCATAGCTGCATATCATGTTTTACTAAAACAAATCTGGATAAAGTCTATGACTTCTGTTTATAGGTTGCAGGAGACACCATTTACAACATGATCAAGATGGAAGACTGTGAGGTCAACAGTGATGACAGACCTCTTTTCCCCCCTAAAATAAAGAAAACAGAGGTTTGATGAATTGTTCAGTTTATACTTCCTTTAAGTATCCATCGGTGAAATAATTCTGTAACCATTGTTGTCCCTTATAAAGTTATCTCACTTTACAGATCTTACTTTAGGTAAAATTATTTTTTGGTCAGTGAGGTATCCTAATATCTTGTGAGGGAAAAATAACTATTGTAAATAGTGGATTATTGATGGAAATAATGTCATATTGTATTTGATTCAGTAACTACTACTTTATATAGATATTAATTTCTAATTAGGAAAATGATAATTCATTTTTTTCAGGTTTTATATAATCCTTTTGATGACATAGTTCCAAGACAAATAAAAGAAGAAGTACAAACAAAACCTGAAGAAAGAAAAAAGAAAAAAGTAAAAGGGACAAAGTAGGTGCCAATACAGCATCTTCTCATGTTCTTCTTTTTTTTGTAAAAATATATTTTGTTTTCTTTTGATCACTTCAGCATAGATCAAACTTGTAGAATGAACCCAATTTTTTTAATCAGTTGGTATTCATCTCTTACTTCTGATTGCCTTAGATAATTAGCAAGAAAGATTGAGAACTGATTAAAAAAGATCTCTTAGGTACTTTAATTAGCAGTATTATCTGATATTTCATAGCCATAGTTTTTGTTCACTTCATATTTGTTTGCTTTGTAGAAACTTTAGCCTATTGTCATTTGGCGAAGAAGCAGAAGAAGATGAATCAACAGTAGCTTCTGTTTCAAAGGTAAGATTATTATTAATTAACCCTTTACTCCCTTAAGTGACCAAGACAGAATTTCTCCTTACAATATCAGTACAATATCAAGCAGACAAGTAATGAGAATAGGAGAATAGAGAAAAACATAATAAGGGGATTATTAGTTGATCCACTACTAAATTCTTCAAATGAATATCATAAGAACTGTATTGCAGACAGTAAGGAGAATTACTAATGAGATCTTGGCAGTGAAAGGGTTAACTTGACTTAACCCTTTACACCCTAACATCAATATCCATATTCTCCATACATTTATATCTGATTAATTAGTTTGCTTGCTCCAAACTTGATAATTTTTACAACAAAATTGATTTCCATTTTTTTTTTTTTTTTTGTGATTTCAGACATTAAAGATGAAAAGCAGTCATGATTTGTTGAATGATCCAAAACTGAGCAAACAACCCGCTGTTGAAAATATTTCTTCAGTGAAGGTAACATAGATGTCTGTCCACAATTGTCTTGCAATTTTGGAGCTGAATTGATAATTGACACCTAGAAGTGTCCAAAATGCTCCAAAGTTCTTGTTGTGGAGAGGGGCTGATGCTTGAAACATCAACTTCAGAAACTCTTTGCAGTGGCCAATTTACATTTATGTATCAACTGAGTTGATAAATATATCTTATTAGATATTTTGTTGTGTAGTATTGCTGAGTATTTTTACGAATTGCACCATATTTTGATGAGCTCATAGGGCGATTCAAAACAAACAACGAGTACAAATACTCAGGGATACTACACAACAAAACATTTTATAAGTGATTTATTATCCAACATGGCCAAATTGGTATTTCAGTGCGGACAAATTTTGTTGATATTTCTGGAGTACAAATATCGCGCAATATTTGTACTCGTCTTGCGCATTATTTGAACTCTAAGAAACACATTTGGATAATAAAGCCAAGTTATCTTGTATTACACCCACTGACATAGCACCACAGTTTCTTTAGATTGTCATGTCTAAAATGCTTCACCTACCACACACAACTCACACCCAGGAGGTTCTTCTCTCTTATTACTTGTTATGAAATTCACTGTTTTTTTCCTGGTTTGTGTTTCTTGAATTATGGGTGACTCTGATTTTTGTAATGGAAATTAGAACAATTTTTTAAAGGATGCAAGAGTGATTTTTGAAATTTAAGATAGAGAACCTTACCCTACTAACTGATTCTAGAAATCCACTTTATGAACAAGCTTCCTGACTTTTATTTGTTTAGAAAAAGGAGAATTCCAAGACTAAAGGATCAGATGATGTCAGTGATGAAGAAGTATGTGTTATAGTTTTGCTTTAGAGTAGAACTCCTCTCTAAACGTTTTACAGAGTAGATTGTCATTGAAAAATTTTGCCTCTAATCAAATCTCTGATCAATGTTAGTACAAGAACAACTCCACACCTACCCCTCCCCTTACCCAACAACAGTCAACTGATAACAAGTTAGGGTAATGTTGGGTTGGGGAGGGGTAGGTGTGCTGTTGTTATCAAATCTTTAATCAAATCTCTGATCAATGTCAGTACCAAACTAACTGCACACCTACTCCTCCCCTAACCCAACAACAGTCAAGTGATGACAAGGTAGGGTAATGTTGGGTTTGAGTTAGGGGAGGGGTGGGTGAGCTGATATGCAGTACATTCTTTCAAGTTGTCGAATAAGTTATGAATGCAAACATTAATTTTTGTTGTTACTCCAGATGAGGTGACCAATCAAAACACTAGAAATATAATGCAATATCTGGAGTGGAAAATTTAGTAATTGTTGGTATTTATTTCAATTCAAGCCCCTAAAGAGTTGTGCTCAAATTTTTTTTACCTTTAGTTAACATAACAGTGATAATTTAACGGCAGTTCATTCCAGCAGAGAAAGTTGACTTTGGAGCACGTGAAAAATTAATACTGACTGCGTTGAAATGTAGATTTATAGGTTATTTTGAGGTAGAATAGTTGACTTTTCATAACGTGTATCATTCTTAAGATACTGAGGAACAATAAACACTGGTTGTGGTGAAACAGTCGGAATAAGCTTTAGAAATATGCCAAACTCCGGAAAGCGCTCTTTAGAGCTACAAGCAATCATTCAATCTGCGGTCTTTCCTTACACTTGGGTAGCACGGAAAGCCGTAAAAATCTTGAACAAAAGCTCATCTTTCAAACCGGCAGTCTAAATCCCACAAGGATCAACGAACGCTTTTCATTGCACTAATTCATTATTAGCGCTTCGAGGTTTCAAGCAACGCGAGTCCGAGAGATTTGCCAAGGGTCTCGCACATTACCAGTGCCAGACCCCCCTGTGAACTCTCCTCAACTCGTTTCAAATCTTCCCGCGGGTTAAGAGACAGGTGTTGTGCGACGCTAATAATGAGGAGCTGCTAGCAGGCTACACTCTTCAGTGAAACCGAAACTCAACCAGTTGCTAGCATTTGTTGAAATTGAGATTGAGTGCGATGATTGAAGTATTTTCAATATGATTGTTCATATCTGTAGCCGTCTGATGGACGAGATTTTGACGCAGATATGCGAGATAAGGTGCGAGATAAACTGATGAAAAGGAAAGCAGAGGAAGATGAGGACGATAATGATAAAATAAAAACAAAAGAAGGATTAAATCCCAGGTTAGTTCACAAGGAGAATGTATGCTTGAGCATTACAACTGAACCGCCGCCCAGTTAGCTCAATGGATAGTGCGCTGGACTGTTGTGCGGGAGGTCGAGGGTTCGAGTCCCGGCCGGACCAACACTCAAGGTCTTAAAATAATTGAGAAGAATTTGCTACCTTTCTATAACATCAAGAAATGGTTAGATATTCTAGTCTTCTCGGATAGGGACGAATAAATGGAGGTCCCGTCTCCTGCAGGGTTGGGG